ACCCGAATTATTTAGTTCGCAAAGACTTGGATATTAGTTCATACACCATTGGATATCAGTTAGTATCTACTAACAAAATGACCAGTTAGCAGATTAACCAGGTCGGGAAGGGGGAGGAGCGACCATTGCAAGGGGAGGGTTATCGGGGAAGAGAGGAAGGCGAAGCTTTTTGAAGGATTTTGGGGCTTTTTTTAATGGGAGTCGAGAGTCTGGTTTTAGCTTTCTCGTACTTCGGGTTTTCTTGGTAAAGCAAATAGAGGGAGAGCCAAAAAATTTAATTGTGGAGCCATTTTCCCGGAGCCAAAATTTGTGGATAGCGGGAGAGCCAAAAATTTTGGATTGTAGAGCGGGAAAAAATTGCGGGACAGCCAAATGGTAAACCTTGAGTCAGCTGTGAGAATTTTTGAAGTCCTAATCTTTTAGTTGTCTCATGAGAACAAATTTTATTGATTTTAAAACTTTGTGTTTAAATAATTAGTGAGTCGAAGATTAAGTTATGTGACATAAAATAAAATTTATTAATTTTCGCCTGAAATTTGCAAACTGTTCGGGGTAATTAACTAGTCACGGGAAATGAAGACTAAAAAACATCAAATTAGTTCCCGTGATTAGAACTATACAATCAAATACGGGAATTTTTCCAGTGATTGTTATTATACTTCTTAGTACGGGAAAATTTACCGTGAATAAGATCCGGTGACTAGAAACTAGTTTTCTTGTAGTGTTAGTTGATTGTGATTTTGAGGAAGGTGTATAAAAAGTCATAGAAGTAGTTTGCAGCAAGTGAAGGCAGTGAAGGGGCAGTTGGTCAGGGTAGTGATTGAACCAAGGAGGGTATTGAAAGACATAGAAGCAAAATCGAAGCAGTTGAAGAGAGAGAAGTTGTAGATGATCAGGATATTAATGAAAATGGAGAGGGTATTGAAGGGCATGGAAGTGAATTGGATCAGGTGAAGGCAGAGAAGGAGGAGAAGAGCATTATGATGGAATTGAAGATGAGTGTTGGTTTTACGAGCTTATTAAAACTGTCCCAAGGAAGATGAGTTGGCCAAATACAAGAAAGAGGATTGAGGAGTTGGAGATCAAGTTGATAAGAAACTCAATTGAAAGAGAAATTCAGGTTCATGGAGAGAACGTCCATCAAAGTAGCATAAATGGAGTTGCAGAAGGAGGATTAGAAATTGAATTTTGGTTTAAAACATATACGTCAAGAGATTGAAGATGGAGGGGATAAAAAGTCGGTTGTACAACGGAGAGTGGAAACTATTGGATCTTTAGGTGTTATGGTTGTTGCAACTTCCACAACCTATGTTTATGTTAAAACGAGGAATCATTTATTGATTTACTAAAGTTTCGATTCACTATTCAAACTACTGAAACCTGTAGATAAGGAGTGTCTAATTTTGTGCCTCATTACTTTGATCGACTCTATTAGTATATTGGATGTTACTCTAATTTTGTAATTTGGTTTCAAGTTTTGATGGTCTCCTTTTAGTTGAGTTGTTAGCATATGATTTACTTGAATCAACAACTTTTCATTTCTGTTTTTTATAAATCCATTTATTTTTTATTAGTGGCATGTTATTTATAGAGGAGAGCTTTGAACTATTTATGTGGGATTGTGAGGTTTCATTTCAGTTTCAAACTATTTATGGATAGTGTGGGAATTCCAATGAGCTTCTATATTATATATTTCTGAACAATATATTAACCAATATCATTTTAATGGAGGCTCAATTATCATTATGAAAATGGGATTAATGATATATTTTTATATTCTTAAATGAGGAGGGTATTTTTCTGAATGTTCGACCTATATATTCATTTTTTATATAGAATCTCGATTGAATAATTTTCAATAAAGTTAAACAAATTAATATACTTAAACATAACATAAAAATATAAATATTAAAATATGAATATTCCGGTCAACGGGCTGGATTATAAGCTAGTGAAGAAGTAAGGAAGTTATGGACTGGAGATAAAGCTTGAGGCGTGGGAGGACGGCCTTCAATTTTCTCTTAAGTAACCAATAGAAAATTGAAATCCCTAATAACAAAGAAGGGGTGCATGGCGCACACAAGACAAAAGAAAAGAGTAATAGAAATTTCATTAAGCTGAAGTTGACTACGAACCCCTTCATTACAATCCAAGTGAACAAAAACCAAGACTAACTTTTCAAAATAGGCTGAACACATTCAACGAACATGTAGAATATTTTATTTTGTTTTACATGTAAAATATTTTTAGTATCACCTCATATTTATCATCAACATATTACGGAGATTGTAAAAAAATTAGGGTAATGTCTATTTGGCTAATAAGTTTTTTATTACTCGGGAATCTCAGCCCCACGTGCCACTTTGTAACAGCGGGTCCTACTAAACTTGAGGTCACCTGCATTCCATTTGACGTCAATGGGGCTCACTCCCAACAGCTTTATACCTTCGGAAACACCAACAAGCCTCACTTGGATTCGAACCTGGAATCTGCAATTCTCAAACCTTCATTGTCGCGGCAGCTTATCGTTAGGTTATCTAAAAGGTATTTTGGAAAGTAATTGAAAAGAAGGAAGACACTAGCGAAGAGTTCGACAAGGAATAGGAGTATTACGAATATTATGATAAATTGATAATAGAATAGACAGAAGCGTTTCCATTCTTTAGGAGGAGTTAGAAGCTTAGTTTGGCCCTGTTGTAGCTTTTGCAGAAACAGCTTCTGGTTGGAACTTTTAGATAAGTACTTTTCCAAAAAAAACAGTTTAGTGTTTGGCTGTAAAACTATTAGAAGTGTTTTTTAATATGAGAGGTTGTGTAAAATGACTATAAAGGACTTATAATATAAAATATTAATAAAAATCTAAACAATAAAAAGTAGTCAAAATGGATCTTGTTAGATTTCTTTTATATTAAATAATATGATTTTATCATTTATTTTATTTTTAAAATGATATAAATGAAGAAAAATTATATTTTCTGTAATAAAATTAAAATATGGTAATGAGAATCTTGTAGTTTCAAAACAACTTTTCGCAGAAGCTCCAAATCTGAACTTCTGCATTTATGTTATACAAAAGCTCTTTTCAGCTTTTCAATAGCCAAGCTTTTAGAGGTGTTTGGCCCTGTTTCAGCTTTTAAAGTCGAAAATCACTTCTAAAAATCGGGCCATACATAGGGAGAGATGGCTCAAATCTGGACCCTTCATTTAGAAAATCCAGATTTAAGGATGGAGAATTAAAGACCATTTTTATTTTCTCTAACTTTATTAATCGGCTCATATCTTTTTCGTTTTAACTCGGATTTTAATTTTTTTTGCACAGGTGGAACGAGTTCATCCTGCTCTACAAAATGAGATCAATTTTCAATATCTTTTTAGAACAAAATATTCTGGCCTCTCGGTACCAACTGCATACCATATGGTATTTTCTTCATTTTTAATTCGTTTTTGAATACGTTTGCACAGAAAGGACGAGTTCATCATGATCTATTGGATCGACAGATTTCTAGGTGAACAAATTACAGGACCAAAAAATACCACACAATACCATACAATACCACCCTGGTACGGGGTGGTATCTTATGGTACACAATGTTAAAAGTCGTAAATGACAGTTAATATATTTCTACTATCATGTATTCAACCATCCTACAATCTTGGTTTGTTCATACAACCATGGTACGCTTTCAAACCATATGTATGCTCTTATTTCAATACCAGTCAGTACCATATGGTATAGACTGGTAAAAAATGACTCAATTTTTTTGTTCGAAAATTATATCAAAATGAATATCATTTTGAAGAACACAATTAATCTGATATAACCATGTAAATTTTTTTTAAATTTTGACTTAAAACGAGTGAGAAATCGTCCGTCAAATATTAAGGAGGGGAAAATTAAAGACTTTTCAGGAGAGAGAGGGATGCTGATGTCATGCTGATGTGGACAGGTTACTCACCATAAAGTTACTCACCATAAGCTTACTGACCTAATCCGTTCCCGGGAGAGACGGGAGCAAATCCGGTGAGTAACCCCATGCATAATCCAATAAGAATCTGCCACATCAGCCCCTCCTTCTCTCTCCTGAAAAAATCATTAATTTTCTTTCCCTTAATTTTTAACGAACGATTTCTCACTCGTTTTAACTCGGAATTTAATTTTTTTGCACAGTTAGATCAGATTAATTGTGCTCTTCAAAATGATATCCACTATGATATTTTTTTTGGAACAAAATTTTTTTTTTCAGTTATTACCAGTCTATACCATATGATATTGACTATACCATATGGTATTGACTGGTATTAAATAACAGCATACCATATGATATGAAAAATACCAGTCAATTCCATATGTTGTTATTTAATACCAGTCAATACCATATGGTATTAAATAACAGCATACCATATGGTATGAAAAATACCACCTCATACCAGGGTGGTATAGTATGGTATGGAGTTGGTAACGAGAGGTTTGAAATTTTTTCCCCCAGAAAATTTTGAAATCCAATAGATCATGATTAAATCGTTCCTTTTGTGCAAAAATTTCCGAAAATGACTAAACAACGAAGGAGATACCATATGGTATGGAGTTGGGAAAATTATTTTTCTCAAAAAATATTGAAAATGGATATCATTTTGTAGAGCACAACGAACTCGTTCCACCTGTGTAAAAAAAAAAATTGAAATCCGAGTTAGAATGAAGAAGATATGATCCAATTAAGAAAACTAGGAAAAATAAATTCCTTTAATTCTCCACCCTTACATCTGCAGTCACTTAAAAGAAGGATTCAAATTTGGTTTTTCATTGTTACTCTCCCTAAAGTTACTCACCCTATCTTGAGCCGGGAGAGACTATGGCTCTAACGGAAAATAGGGTTTTCTGGCTCTTTCACCTTGGGCTATCCGTCGTCCTCCCTCCCTCCTGGTCGTCCCCCGCCGCCACCGACGGCTACATATCCACCGCTGTCTACGGCCATCTTCTCACTCCCGCCACCAGAAAACCATTGCTCCGTTCAAAGGCAAACCGTCAAGGCCCAATCAGCAAACTCGGAGACGATCTCCTCCTGGCGATTCTGATTCGCCTCCCGAACGCTAGATCCGCCTTCCAGTGCAAATCCGTCTGCAAGCGCTGGTGCTCACTCATCTCCAGTCCCCACTTCGGCCGCAGTTTCGTTTCTCACCGTCAACAAAGCAGGATCGACGGCGGCGGCGGCGGCGGCGAACTACTTCCTTTAACCTCACGCGACACTGAATCCATCTTGAGCTTTCTCCCCGTGCCTGATGAGGTCCAATCCGATTTCGTACTTTTGGGTTGCTTCAAGGATTTGGTTTTATGCGGCTTCGTGGACTCTGCTGCTGGGAATGATTTTGATGGCGAGATGGGGAGATTGTTCTTCGTCTGCAATCCGTTTACAAAGCAATGGGTAGCCGGCGCCCAAAAGGTCGGTCGGGTATCAGAACAAATGTTTAGTCTCTGAGAAATTGGATTCTGGAGATGAGGATGATTGTCGATTCCGAGTCGTCCTTGTTTCTGGATCACCTGACCGTGCAATAGTAGACTTGTTTTGTTCGGAGTCAGGGGAATGGATGGAAGACGCCATGGCTCCTCCTGATTCTGGTTCTTCCACACAGATGATGCTTGGGGATGTGATTCCCTTGTGGAATGGGACCTTGTGTTGGCTGTCCGATGACATGCTTGCTTTTTGTGTGTGGAATCCATTCTGCCCACACACACTTCCGACTTCCACAATCATTGAATCGCCGAACGGCCGGAGTTATTCCTGGTTCTCCAGTGCCTTACCGAAGCGCACGATTTGGGTCTCACTTGGTGTTTTACACCTAGTTTTTCACCTTCAGGAAAAGCATTGTTTGTCTATTTGGAGATGGGAGGAAGACAATAGAAGATGGTGTTTTCTTTACACTGGCTTTGTGGCGGATTACATCATTAAGCGTGAGTATGTACAATTTAAGGGTTTGAAGGCGCATGATGTGGTTGGCATTCATCCGAGTAAGCCCGAAACCATCTTCTTGGAGTGTCGTCGTCCTTCTGATGTCGCGCCTATTGTGGTCGAGTGCAACATGAGGACGGGAGAGATGGAGGTCTTCACCGATAGAGGGAATTGGGGTGCGTTGTTCCAGCCGAGGTTCACTTGCTGGCCTTCCCCAATTCCGGGCTACGAGAAACTGCGAACTATGTATGATGGCTACTATAGTTGTTTGGTTCAGAGCATCAGCCAATCTTGAACTCCCTAAAACCGTAACCGGTAAATCACATGAATTCCTTTCATTTGATTACTCTAATTCCTTTTGTTTGTTGTTTTGTACATACAATTCACCACTTAGTGCTTCATATATACTATTTAACAGGTCAATGCGCTCGATCCACATGACATTGTTCTTCCATCTCTGGACATCCCATTCCATGCATGTTTTCCCTCATCTGGGTACTATACGCGTTAGAAGCTTAAATAAAATTTTTTGGTTCTGTGCAGAGCTAAAGCAAGAGTCTTTCCGTGCTCTCCAAGAAGTTTGGTGGTATTGAGATGAGGTGGGAGCATACATTTAGTGTTCAAAATCTTAACCATTGTTAGTGATAACAGTTGCTTGGAGTACAAGTCATGATTCCTTTTTCCTTTGTCCCAAATTAAAGAGTTCAGAGTTCTAATGCTGCAATTTGTATCTTTTACAAAAAGAGTTTGGTTATTGCGATGTACCAAGTATAGGTTCTATTGTTTGAACTTTAGTTGTTATAATTAAAGTTAGTGATAACAGTTGCTTAGGTCCTAACATGTTCCAAGCCTTTGATTTATTGAGCCACATGTTTCAATTAAACTCCATCAATTGTTCTGCATCATTGTAATTCCTTTCTCTTTTTTTTTTTGGTAGAATTTTCCTTTCTCTTTTTGCTATAATTATTGATAAAATAATTAGCTTAACCGGCCAAGCAAAAAACTAGAACTAATTGATCAGGAATGATTATTTAGCCTCTTTTATGTCATGTATTACATGCTTTAGTTTAAGTTATTTGGCACACACATTTTACTCGAAAGAGTAAAGCAAAATTTGCTGAATGTTAGGAGCAAAAGCAAAATTTGGTACACACATTTTACACAAATTAAATGCAGGTGATCCCCAGTTTTAATAGGATCCGCTGTCACAAAGTGCACGTGGGACTGAGGTTCCTGGGTATAAAAAAACACTAATATAAAGAGGTTCTTCGTGAGAAGGTGTTTAATTCTAAATTTCTAACCTTCTGGGTAAATTTAGGAATGACATCCAAAAGAGTTTGTTAATTATACTAATGAAAAAAGATTCGTTAAAATTTCCATCCTCTATGTCAATCATCACTTATGATGTGATGAACAATAAAACACATGAATTTGCACAAAAACCATTAAATAATTAATTTAATTTGAAGGATTTAGAATTTAGAGGTTTAGGGTTCGGGTTCGGGTTTATAATTTGGGGTTTAGTGATAGAACTCAAAATTGGAGGTCTAGGGCTTAGGGTAATCCGTTAATTAGTTGTTATCATATGTTATATCATCATATTACACTAATTCTACAAATTAAAATTCAAAATCCGACACCTTAAGACTAGTTTTTGAGTTGGGTGCATTGGTGCACTCACTTTTTTGTGTGCATCCCAACTCTACAAGTAGCCATAGACATCAAATTTTGAATTTTAACTAGTAGCATTAGTTTAATATCATGATATAACAAAGAATCTCAACTAATCAATCCATTACCTTAACCCCTAAACGTTCAATTTTGAACACCAACCCAAAAATCCCAAAATGTGAACCCTAACCCTAAATCCCTAAATCCTAAATCCTTCAAATCAAAGTAAATATTTAATGATTTTTTTTTTAAATTCATGGATTTCATGTCTATTATATTACAAGTAATGATTGACATCGTTTTGACATGAATCACCTACTCAAAATGTCGATTATGAAGCGAATGCAACCAATGTTTGTGCAACCATACCGAAAGTTATACCAGACAAGTTAATAATAGGTTATTTTGTGCTAAAATAGTGGTTCAACCATTTTGTATCGCTGAAACCACACACCAATAAGAGTAAAATATCCTATATTTTCGATCGGACCGACCGATACGGTTTCTTAAACCATGTCTGCAACTAATAATAATACTACTAGTACTAATAATCTTTGACACGTTAGTTTCTGTCATATTGCAGGAAATGTGTGATGTCGTCAAGTTTCATGCGAAATATCCATTAGCCGAATTGAGCAATTATTGTAGGATTTATAAATGAAAAAAAGGAAAAGATAGCGAATGAAGAGAGAACATGTGGAGGGGTTGTAGGATCACCCTGCAAACTGGTATGCAGGCAAATATTGTCCCTCCTCATTTGTAGATTTTGATCCTGTTGTTAACCAACAATAAAAGAAATTTATTTTGATTTTATCATCATATACTCCTATATCTATTGAAATTAAAACCAGACAAGTAAATTGTAAATGAATGTATTTTTATAATATTAAATTTTATGAGTAGTTTTTATGCGGAGAGTATCATATCTCTAACAAATTGTACACATTCGTTAACAGCTGTCAAACTGATACTTCACCAAAATATGGTCTGTAGTAATTCCACTGCCATTTGCGTTGAGCTGTCTGAAAATATTGAAATCCAATTCAAGCCCCATCTGATTGTTGATGTGCTCGTGAGCGATACGAACCTTTACTTGATTAGGAAGTCGTCCAACTCCAACTCCAACTCCCCAAGAGCAATGACCTGTATTAATTATATTCATATGTATAAAAGTACTCAGTTTTTATTTGCTCCACTTCATAAAAGCATGCTCATAGGTTCATAAAGGAGAAACATTCGATAGATTTAAGCCGTACTGGTACATATATGGTACGTGGAAATGTACGAGACCTGCAGTGCTGCACTATTAGAGATAAATAAATTTTATCTTTCTTTTTTATTTTTCCCACTACTGTTCTGTTGCTATCTTTGTGGGTAGTGTATGTCAATTCTGTTGTACGTGTTCCTTGTTTGTCTCTCACAAGGCTGTATATTAGATCACAGAATCATCAATGAGAATCAAGTTAGTTTTCTCTGCAAATATCAAATCTACAATCCTCTTCATGGTATCAGAGCTAGCAACGATCAGCTAGATCGATCCAACCTCTCTCTTTCGTTTTCAACTCTCTTCTCTTTACTCGCCTTCCTTCTTCTTGCTTGCTGTCATCATGGCAGGTGCTTCTACCATCTCTGATTCACACGACGGGTCCAAAAGTTCAGAGACCCAAATCATCACCTTCAATCCTGCCGCACAACTCCCTCTGAAACTCACTCCGACGAATTTTGCTTCCTGGCGGTCACAGCTGGAGACTCTCCTCATGGGTCTCGATTTAATTGGATTCATTGATGGAACGAAGACTGCTCCGCCGCAATCAATCACCATTGATGCCACTGCCGCACCGAACCCAGACTATCATCATTGGTTCAGGCAAGATAAACTCATTCTTCATGCTTTGCGGTGTTCCATTGAAGAATCGATTTATTCCTTTGTTTCGACCGCGGCTACTGCTCGTGATGCCTGGCTCGTTCTGGAGAAACTATATGCCAGCAATGCGCAATCGCGCATCATCAATCTGAAAGGGAAAATTGGAAAAATTGTCAAAGGAGATCGTGATGTTCTTACCTTTGTCAATGATCTCAAAGCCACAGCAACGGAACTTGCCCTCATTGACGAGCCTGTCAAAGATATTGATCTTGTTGTGCACTGTCTTCGCGGTCTGGGTGAGGAATACAAATCCTTTTCCGCCGCCGTTCGTGCCAGAGGGCCTGGTCTTACTCTTGAAGATCTTGTTGACTCGTTGGTTGAGTTTGAAGCGGACTTAAAGGCACAGATGCCTTCCTCTGTTCCGACTGCTTTCTTCACCCAGGGACAGAGACATGGCGGTCCATCCTATCCTCGTCCTCAGCGTGTGCCTCCGCCGCCGCCGCAACCCTATTCTGGGGTTTCCTTTCCCCGTGGGCTCAACAGCAATCACCAGCGGGCCTCTGACCCATATCATCCTTCCCCCTATGCTGATCCATCCACTATTCCTCCACGTCGGGCTCGCACTATATGTCAATACTGCCAAAAGCCTGGGCACTCAGTGCGCCAGTGCTTCCCATTGTTCCCACAAGCTCGGCCGGCCCATCTTCAGCCCAGACCGGCCCAGGTTCATTATACGAATACAGGGCCGCCTCTATTGCCCTCCCCCAGCAATCAGCCTGCCTCTTCCAATTCATGGTTGATGGATTCTGCTGCCTCCCATCATGTTACGGCTGATCTTGGGCATTTATCATTATATTCTGACTATACCGGCCCCGACGAAATCATCATTGGCAATGGCGCAGGTTTGCGGATTCACCATATTGGCTCTTCTCATCTTTCTGCTGCTTCTGCTTCTCTTTCTTTACAAGATGTGCTACATGTTCCTGCCATCAAAAAGCACCTTATTTCTGTTGCTCAGTTATGTCGTACTAACCCAGTGTCCGTGGAATTTTTTGCCACCCATTTTGTTGTGAAGGATCTTCGCACGGGGGCGCCGCTGTTGAGAGGGGAAAACCGAGGTGATGTGTATGAGTTGCCGCCGGCGGCTGAACCAGTTCGTATGGCTCTTGTCACCACTCGTACTTCTGCAGATTCGTGGCACTCTCGTCTTGGTCATCCTTCTCAGCAATCCCTTCGCAGCTTGCTTCGTTCTCACTCTCTTCCAGTCTCCTCGTCCTCCTCGATTGATCATTGTGATGCTTGTTTATCAAATAAATCTCATAAACTTCCATTTGGTGTTTCTTCTCTTTCGAGCACTCGACCTTTTGATCTTCTTTATACTGACGTTTGGGGCCCCGCCTCTGTTTCTTCCATTGATAATTTCCATTATTATCTTATTATTGTTGATCATTATACTCGTTACACATGGTACTATCCCCTTCGTCGAAAATCCGATGTGCTTCAGGTCTTCCTTGCTTTTCGCACCATGGTTGAAAATTTTTTCTCTACCACCATTCGTCAGATTTACACCGATGGTGGTGGCGAGTTTCAGAAGTTGTGTTCCACATTGGGTGCTCATGGCATTAGTCATTTACTCACTCCGCCTCACACTCCTGAGCATAATGGCTTAGCCGAACGTAAGCATCGCCATATTGTAGAGACTGGTATCACTCTCCTTCATCAAGCTAAACTTCCATCTCTTTTTTGGTCATATGCTTTCTCGACTGCGGTGTATCTTATTAATCGCTTGCCTTCCTCCGCTCTTCGTGGCCAAATTCCATACACATTGCTTTTTAATCAAGCTCCCAATTACCATAAACTCCGTATCTTTGGCTGCTTGTGTTACCCTTGGCTTCGTCCCTACTCGCTCAACAAACTTGAACCCCGATCTCGCCCTTGTCTCTTCTTGGGCTACTGCCCACAACGCAGTGCCTATCGTTGTTTTGATCCACTCACCTCTCGTCTTTTTTTGTCCAGGCATGTCCGATTTGTTGAAAATCATTTCCCTGGTTTCCAATCTCCTGTTGCCATTTCCCCTCCATCGCCTGCTACTTGGCTATTGGACTCTAGTGCTACTATTTCCACTCTGCAGGTACCTCGGCCCAACTCAGCACTCCCCAGCCCACTCACCT